TAAATCACTCCAGTATCAATGGAAATGATATATTTTATACTAGTGATGTAAAATCCACTCCATCTACAGTTAAATACCAAACAAAACAAAAGTTTCAAAAGAAATTACTTCTATGGAATGCTTTTTTTGGCTTAAATAAAAATTTAGTATTAAAGTGAATTTTAATTTTTTATTGAAAACTTGAGAGAAAAATCACTTGACTCTATATTCTAATTATAAATTAATGCAAACCTGGCTGTAAACCAAAAAATCTATTTAAACAAATGTATTAAGAAGATAATTATTCCATTCATCAACAGGTATCATTCAGATGGTGCATATGTATTCTGGCCAGATTTAGCATCATCTCACTATGCTAAAACAGTAATTATGTACCTAAACAAGGAAAACATGCATTATGTTGAAAAAGCGGATAACCCTGCAAACTTGCCAGAATGTCGCCCTATCGAAAATTTTTGGAGTATTTGGAAGGCCTTGTCTACAAAAATAATTGGCATGCAGAAAATCTTAAAAAATTACATTCTAGAATCAAGTATTGCCTTAATAAAATTGATATTGAGCTCATACAGAGACTAGCTCAGTCTATACCAGGCCTAGTTGATAAAGTCAGAAAAAATGGTTTAATTGAAAACAACTGATTATATATTTAAAAACTAGAATAAAAATACTTTATAGAACATTTTTCCTTTTTGTTTTATATTATTTCTTTAAAGAGATATGTGTCTTTAAATTCAGTCTCGTTTTTTAGTTGTCATCCGTTATTCCTTTGTCATAATTATATTTAAAGTGAAGTTTATGAGGATTTTCTTTTAAAGCTTTTAGCTGTCTAATAGCTTGAAATGTATTGTTCTGGCCCACATAACCTTTTTTTGTTTAGATTCCTTTGCACCATTTTGCATTGGTTGAATTTGATATATCTTCAAGCATTTGTTTCCTTATGCTGCAGATTATTATCATTTTAAAATTTGATTATATTGTCATGTTTTAACACAGTTTATACAATGGTATAATAGTAATAAAGTAATATAATGATATAATAGTAATAATAACAATATACAGTTATAAAAAGTGTTTTTTTTTTAAAGCTTGTTTTTTTGTTGTTTCTCATTGCATAGATGATTTTCCAAATATTAAGTGGGTCGCGTCATTATGTCTCTGACTATGTCCTGGTACAAAGAATGTAAGCTCAAATAAATCTATATTAAATAGATTCAACTATCATGTTCATCATTCTATTTTGGCCCCCACATTGATCACAAAGGAAAAAAAAAACTGTGTTACTCTTTTTTGCTTTCAGATTCAATAATAACCATAACTCTTCCAACAAGTGTAACTGCAAAAACTAAAACCCTTATTGATAACATCTTCATGAATTCATTTTCTACTGATATAGTCTCTGGTAATCTTACAATTTCAATCTTTGACCACATGGCACAATTTGTCTGTATTCCTAATAACCCACCCAATATAAAAAAAGTAAAAATGTTTAAAAGAAGCTTTAAAAAATTTGATTCTGATTATTTTATCCAAGAAATTTCTGATATTAACTGGGAACTTCTCATAAAAGAAGATGATAACATAAATGAATCTGTAAATTTTTTCCTTAAAACATTTGAAAAAATATTAGATCAATATGCTCCATACAAAGAATTGATAAAAAAGCAAATTAAACTTCAATCTAAACCCTGTATAACTTTTGGTATTCTTAAATCTATTTCTAATAAAAATAATAAAAACATACTTTATAAAAAATTTACTAGATCAAAAAATGTGAATACCAAAAATATGTTTTTTGCTAAATTTAAGTTATATAGAAATAAAATTAGCATTTTGTTAAAATATTCTAAAAAATTGTACTATGCATCTTTTTTCAAGAACAACATTAATAATGTAAAGAATACCTGGAAAGGAGTTAAGGAAATTATAAACATCAAACCTTCTACTTATAAACATCAAACCTTCTACTTATAAACATCAAACCTTCTACTTGTACTAAATCTTTTAATCTCAAAATCAATGAAAATGTCATCTCAGATCATACCAGTATTTGCATGTTTTTAGAAATTTTTATAAACTTTTTAAAAGCTTTTTTAAAAAATTTCTCCGTTTTATTTGTTATAGTATATAATATCTTTATATATGTTATGCATATTATATCTATAGGATGGTAAACTCGTTATATGTGTTGTGTTAATGTTTTAATTGATTGTCACAATGTTTTAATTGATTGTCACAATGTTTTAATTGATTGTCACAATGTTTTAATTGATTGTCACAATGTTTTAATTGATTGTCACAATGTTTTAGTTGATTGTCACAATGTTTTAAATGAATATCATGGTTGTTTTAAATGAATGTCATGGTTATTTTCAATAACATGTTTGTTTTAAATGGATGAAAAATCCAGTTGTTGCAGTGTAAAAACTAAAATTAAGGAGATATTGCTATTGATATTTTCAAGTAAAAGTCATGATATATGTGAAATTGTAGTAGGCCATGTAGGAAAGTCTAAAAAGTATCTTTTTAATTTTAGATATCATGATATCTAAAATTAGAAAGGTAATTTTTAGACTTTCTTAAACTTTTTTAAAAATTTTTTATATAAATATTCATAATATGGTTAATACATGTGCTGAAGTTTACTGTAAAATTTGATATAATTTTTAATAATTTGCATAACTTGTAGTTTCATGTTAGATATTTGCATTTCGTTCACATAGATAAAATACAAATCATTATGGGTTGTAGTTTCAAAAGAATGTCTAATAGCTTCGTAAAATAAAAGATACTTTTATTTACTTATCTATTACCAAATTAACCATACATAACAAATTTTAATAGTTTTCAATCGTATGTCTATTGAACAAACACATCATCTAATTAATCTAAAAAAATCAATTGAATTATTTGAATAAAAGGAAAAAAATACACCACATCTATTAACTGCAAATCAATTTATTTATACATAATAACAAAACAAAAAATATATAACAAAATATATCAATTTACCTGCTGCTAATTTTTTTTTAAAGTTAAATAAGAAGTACAAAAAACTTACCCAAAAACTTACCTTGTGCATTATCAGTTAAAAGCATCCGATTTGAGTCTTCCAATATTATAAAGAGTATAATACTATTTTAATGGTTATCTAAATTTTGTCATTGTTGTGCACTCGGTTTTGAAAGTTTACCGGGGGCATGGTAAAATAGCTGTAAAATTCTAAATTTTTTTATTACCTTAATATTAGGTATTTTTTACTTTTTATAATTTTTAAAAATTTTTAATTTAATAAAATAGTTTATTTTTAATATAAAACTAGAATTTTCAATTAAGTTCTTAATAAAAACATATTTATTAAACCCCCTGATGATTTGAACTTGCCACTCGGCGACTTAACGTCGCCGAGTGGCAAGTTCAAATCATCAGCTTGCTTTTTTTTTTTTGGATTTTTGTTATTGAAAATGCAAAACAAAACAACTTTCTTTCAAAACAAACTTCTCTCTTTAAAAGTGTCTTATTTTGTATTTTAGAAAAATCAATACAGATTAAACAAAATTAAAAAAAAAAAGAAAACGCCAACAGTAGGAATCAAACCAGGGCTTCTGCATTAGAAAACCGGCGTGCTAACCACTTAGCTAACCACTTGGCTACATAGGCATATATCCATTGAAAGTTTTAAAAGTATATAGTAAATAAAAAACTTTATAAAACGGAAATAATTGCTCAGATTAAATCCTAATGTGATGTTGCTGCAGTGCAATTTTTAAGAAAAACTATAAAACTTGATGTATGTTTTAGTCTGTTTTAACATTAACGTTAATAATAAATCCTGGCAAGAGTACTGTGTACTGCGCTGAAAAATATTTCTTAACTATGAAGAAAATTTAAAAAAGTTTGTCATAATGAAGCATATAAATCTTTGTAAAAAAAATAAGGAAAGTAATAAAATAAAAATAACTAAAATAAAAAAAAAAAATTAAGACTTAGCTAAAAAAAATATTTAACTATAACGATAAGATTGTAAAGAATAAATAACTTTGATTATCTTATCTTTACTGCTTTTATATTTTAATATTATGCGAAACGCTTTTTAAATTAAGTCACAACTTACATTTAACGATTGTTAAATAAATGCGCACATTTAAAAGTTAAAAAAAGATTCTAAACAATTCTTAGCTGTAACAAAAGAAAAAATAATTAAATCATTTATTTAAAAGTTGATATAATTTTTATTTTATTTAAAGACATAGTAAAAAAAATGTACTTCTGTAAATTATAAATATTTTTTACTATTTTTATTATTTTACTTATAAAATCTTTTTATATAATTAGATAATATAAATAAAACTTTATATAACTTTCTGTAAAACTTTAATTAACATCATTAGCTACTTTTTTTAAAAGTCTTTTGCTAATGTAAAAACGTTAACAAAGACAAACAAGTCCAAGTTATTTGTTTTCAACGTAGTTATCTGTTATTAATATTAAATTATTAGGGTCGGCATTCTGCATGTATGTATATATATCAGGGTATTGGGTATATATACCCGCCAAATACCCTGATATATATACATACATTCTGCATGTATGTATATATATCAGGGTATTTGGCGTGTATATATATATATATATATATATATATATATATATATATATATGTATATATATATATATATATATCAGGGTATTTTTGGCGTATATATATATATATATATATATATATATATATATATATATATATATATATATATATATATATATATATATATATATAAAGAGAAAGAAGTATTGCCAAGGTCTCATTCTGTTGATTTTTTTTTTAAACTTTTACATTTGTAGATAGGTCTCCCTAAAAAAATTTATTTAATTTTTTAATTGAAAATAAGTATTTTTCAATGATTACCTATGAGTAAATTGCAGGGAGGAGGTTTAAAGTAGGTTTATGCATATTGTTACTTATCATTACTATTATTAATATTATTGTTTTAATTATGATCTAGGTCAATTTCTTTTGGCTGTAGATGTGAACCAATCTGCATACTTCGCTAACAGTTTAAAGTGCCTATCTGACCGAGATAATAAAATGATAAGAAAAATAATTGAGGAAAACTGGGATGATGAGGTCCAAATGGTTTCAAATTTACTACAATATCCTAATCTCATACCAGAAGATATCAGAGTAAGCTCTATTATTAAAGGTCTTGAAGATGAAGAAATGCCATACTATATATTATCTGCTGCTGTTGGTGCTCAAAAACTCAAATTAAATGAAGATTGCATGAAGCTCATTTTTGATCCATTACGGAAAGCAGTTTTTAATGATCAGGGCGTCATAAGTATGAGAGCTTTTACAACTATGCTGCCATATTTAAGTTTTCCTAATGATATTGACCTTATTTTAAATATAATAAAAAAGAAAAAATCAGCACTGCAAGACTGTGCTGTTTCATGGCTAGTTTTGAAAGTACAAAATAAAACTGAGTTATTAAGCATTTTAGAATCTGTTGACAGCAACACTTTGACAATTGCCCAAACTAAAATGGACAAGCACTTACAAAGTTTAGTGGATGGTAAGAGTTTTTTTTAAAGATTTATGTTGTAAATATATATATATATATATATATATATATATATATATATATATATATATATATATATATATATATATATATATATATATATATATATATATATATATATATATATAATATATATAATATATATATATATATATATATTTTTTTTTTTTTTTTTTTTTTTTTTTTTTTTTTTTTGTTCTTGGGATATTTCCTCTAATAAGGGCACCCAAACATTTTCTATAGAACTTAGTTCAGGAGAGTTTTTTGGTTAATCAAGTAATGGAATATTATATTCTGATAGATATATTTTAGTTGATTAAGCTGTATGACATGGTGCCCTGTTCTGCATAAAGATTTTTTTCACCTGAATCAAACCATTTTGCTAGTTATGGCAACTATCTTTGTTCCAGGACTTTTTTGTAACTGATTCATTACTCCCCTGACATTATAGAACATCCCAATTTCCCTTTCACATATCACTGACCAGATCATCACAAAAATAGGGTGTATAACAATTTGAATGATGCAATTTAATACCTTTTACCTTTTTTTTTTCTTTTACAAGTTGAGCCTTTGTTAACATTTGAAAAATACTCTTGTTGCTAAAGCATACTTTAAAATATTATATAAGGATTGATGAGTAAATCTTTAAAATTTTATGTAAGAAATTTTAAAATCATTTCCAACCAATCTTTCATTAATTACCGTACTTTTTTTGCCCACTCCAGCTTTTTTTGCATTATTTTTGGTGTCAGTTTAGGCTTCTTAGCTTGACGTCATGTAATCAAAATTGTGCAGGTGATGTTGAAGTGTTGTTATTGACTTTTGGATCCCAGATTGGTCGAACTTTTCAGTTATTTCGATGTTGGTGGCCTGCCTATTTTCTAGAACAATCTTGGCCTATTTTCTAGAACAATATTTCTATTCTTTGTATTCTTTTAGCAAGCCTCTTTGGTTTTAAGTTCTCCATATTAGTCATTTATTGTGTATATTTTGTACAGAAATCTGAAAAATACCAAATTTTCTGGCAATTTCTTGTTGAGAAAAATTAGTTTTTATTAAAAAGTGTCGTGATTCGACAATTTTTTGTGGTATTTAAAAAAAAATTTTTTTTTTCCTTATAACTAAAATAAAATATCATATTTCAGTACCACAGTTAAGAATTAGGTATTCATAACTTTAAAAATTTGACATCAAATGTTTTAATATAAAGAAAAATATTTAAGAAACAATATTTTTTCTGATTTAAATAATTATTTTTAAGATAACATGATAAACAAATTTAAAAGTCTGGTAAAACTCAGTGAAAAGATTATTGTTTGAAATGACAGCATACAAAAAGGCTGTCAGTACTTAGAGTTAGTTCTAATTACAGTAGTTGACTGTAATTAGAGTTAGGGTAAAACACCCAGTCTCCCCATACGCTCTTATGCTACTTGGTATCTAAAATTCACTTCTCCATGCTGCTTGGTCTCTATAAATAAAGATTGTCTTTATTCTTAAAATTGATGAAATTTTCAAACTTTTGGCAGTTATGATGCAAACATCAGAGTTCTTTTCAGACATGATTTCAAAACTTTCTAGCAATTAGTTTTTGGTCTGCATTTTTAGTGACTAAGTGGCAACAGCTGATTGTATGGCAAGTAATGAATATTTTAGTGGTTAATCATAGAAGTATATGAAGAGTCATGGAAATGACTCTTCAGAGGTAAACCTAATCAGTCATGGAAATATCATGGAAAAGTCATGGAGTTTCATTTTCAAATTTAAGTGCCACCCTGTACAAAAAATCATGATATAATTTGGAAAATACATATACTGAAATTTCATAAAATCATTTAAATTTTAAAAAAAAGTTCAAAACAATTTTATTATTTATGACATGCTACTTCAACTTGCTTCGTTGATTAATATATCATGTAAACTATGCCTTTTTTTTTTTTTTTCTGCTCCACTTATTTAGATTACTTTCATCTTTTTATTTATTTTCTTGTAAGTTTTGAATATGTATCTTTATATATTTATTTTTTTTTAAAAATAAATATATAAAGTCCGTAACTAGAAAAAACTTTTCTCTAGCTACAGGCTTAAGTTTTTTCTCCTGGTGTTTTGATGTTTTTAAAATTTTTTTCGTTTGTTAAAGCGTATAATGTCGTTACATATGTTTGTATATCATCTCTATGAAACTTCAAATATATTTTGTTTTTTAAAATAATCGAAAAAAATTAAAAACAAAAAAGTTGTCATTGGTAGGACATGAACCTCTGCTTACTTGTTCAGAAGCTCGGGGTGCTATCCACTTAACCATGCTGGCATATTGATCAATGAAAATTTTTAAAAGTATATAATGATTTTTTTAATGGAAATAAATGTAATAGATTAAAATTAAAGAGAGCTTGACGCAATCCAATTTTCAAATGAAAATCTAACTGTTAAACTTGATAAATGTTTTAGTATGTTTTAATATTACTTAATTTAAAGTTTTTAAACATTAGATATTTGCATACATGTTCGTTCACGTTTTCTTATAAAACAAAGGGCTGCGACTCTTTCTAGCCATCATCTTGTTCGCAATTTTTTTTTCATTGTCTTTTTTTTTTTTTCGTAGCTCTATTCTGGCAATGCTAAATCATTGCAATGAATTTATTTTTAATAAATTTAAAATTATCAAATGCGCATTTCCAGTTGGCACAAGGCGTATTTTAGACGTTTAGAGTATTTATTATTACATTGTTATACGTGTTTAGTTATCTTGTGCCTACTTAGTTTGCACTTTTTTTTTCTTTTAATTATTAAATTGTAATAAAATCATCTAACTCCAACCCACCTTATTGGGGGCAAATAAAAAGAGACAAATAACACTTTCATATTTCAGTAGCGTTTTATAAATGATTTGCTTTTAGTATTAAACATTCAGTTTAAATTTTTAAATATTTTATAAAATTTGTTTTGACATTAAAAAAAAAAAATCAACAATATATTACTTGGATATTATGAAACTTCTTTTTTGAATTGAATGAAAATCTGAGCGCACTAGAGTTATTTTAAACTATTAACATTTGCAGATAATTTGAGCAATAGTTGTTTGCAAGTTTAAAATGTATTGATTTTATTTTAAAGTTATTATTTTAAAATGAATATGAGTTTGTTGATTTTCAAGCATTAAGTTATTTTTGTGTGTATAAGTTTTTTAAGTATCATGAAAAACTTTTAAAAGTTACAATCATAAAAAACTATTATTTAATTGAAAATTTAAGCAAAAGAAAAAAATGAAACTTTTGGCCTCCCAAAAAAAACAACTGACCAACATTTCCATGTGTTAGCTGGTCGAATTAGCTGCTTGCCTTCTATTTTTAACTTTCCACAATGCAAAAAAGCCAGTCTCAACAATAAACCATAGGACAGCAATGTTTAACGCTTATTTTGACTGTATATACATACAGAAGCTTTTTTTTTGTTTTGTTTTTGTAGAAAGGAGTATTTTTAGGAGGACCTAGTGTTTTTCTTTTTTTTCCTATATATATTTTAAAAGCCTGGTTGCTTTTGCAAAATTTTTGTTTTTAAATTATTGTATAGGATTTTACATGTGTTTGGGTAAAGTGTTGTATTTTTGTAAATTGTATTAAGGCATTTCCGTTTCCGGGCAGAATTTTTCTTTTTCTTTGTTTTAACAATTAGAAGCTGGGATATAAAGCAATATGCATACTTAAAAAATGCATATATTATGCATACTTTTTTATCAATTTATTATGATTATTACTTTTTTTTTTGCGTTTTAATGATGCAATAGTTTGAAAAATATACATAAATTTTCAAAGTTCTATACTCTAGGTATAAATATTCAGAAAATCTAGTTATTTACTCTACATATTTTACTTGCAAATGACTGTTAAAACTAAAAAACCTTATTTCTTAATGCCATCACAAAAATAAGTTTTTTTACCACAACTTGACGGTTTAATTAAACGGAACAATCCATGTGCACATAACAATAGTCTTACATAACATTCTTTTTTTGTATATAATTATTTTTAATTGAAAAATATTTTATCTTACCTGATGATTGTAAATGGCATGAAACTAATACTAGTAAAATTATTAAATTTATTAAACTAATATTATAGTTCTGAATTTGTTCATAGAGCACTTTTTTGAAAATATGTACAAAACAGCATCAATACACATGCATATTATTGCATATTTAGCTAAGCCATGTCATACTGAAATAGGTATTTGTGTGTGCTTCAGTACATATATCAACTATCTAGATAGAACTTGCAAGGAGTCCTGCTACATTGAATAAGGGTTATGGTTTATGGTTTTTTTTTCACTATTATGTTTTTTTCTTCTTTTTCTAAATAAAACCAGATGAGTGTGAGTCAGTGCATTCTAAAAAATTTTCTATTTGTAGAAATTTTTTTTTAAAACCATCAGCTGTTACAGAAATTATTACTTGAAAGTATGAATTTAAAAAACTTTTAAATTCATACTTTCAAGGTAACACACAGCTTTCCAAAAAATAAGTATCAGCTGAAATGATGTAATTACAATAGATGCAAAAGTAGCTAAAAGAAAAAAAAGTAACAAAGTGGTACTGCGAGAAATAGGTAACAATGGCTACTATGAGTGCCTTGCAAAAAACTTCTAAAAGATTAGCAAACTGCAAAGTATTTGTTGAATCGCAGTGTATTGTTAGGACATATGCAATCAGATGTCCTAGAAAAACATTTTGAGATTGTGTATTATTAGGACATATGCAATCAGATGTTCTAGAAAAACATTTTGGGAAATATCGGCAAGTGTCAGGTGTCACATATCAGATTTATGTACAAAAGGTGGCACATTTCAGATATAACTGTACAAAATGTTATTCAAATATTTAAAATTGATAAAACTAGAAAATTGCTAGACAAGCAAGCTGATTTTTACAGTGATAAGTGTGAACCTGATGTAGAATTTGATATGTCAGTATGTGAAAATTGTAAGGATCA